CCGAAGCAGAGTGCACGAACTTAACAACTACGCCACCAGGCCCTCAGCTGACACATTTTTAATGTGAGTTATCATTTAAAAATCTAGACATTTTAGGGCCAGCCCGGTGGTGTAGCCATTAGGTCCACGTGCTCTGCTTTGGCAGCCTGGGGTTCATAGGTTCAGATCCCAGGAGCAGACACACACACCGCTCATCAAGGAAGGCTGGCACAGATGTTAGCTCAGAGACAATCTTCCTTACCAAAAAAAATGGAAGTCTTTTCAACAAATGGTGCTGGAACAACAGGGCATCCGCAGGCAAAAAAAAAAAAAAAAAAAAAAAAAAATCTAGATATTTTATATGTAAATTCGGATGCTCAGCTTCTCCTAAAAATCAAAAGTTCTGGCACGTCTGCATCCACATTCTCAGCACGGCAAATGGCAAGCAGCTCTCTGGAGCTTAGCAGCTGCTCCCCTTAAACACAGTCTGAGCTTCCAGCACCACTCAGTGCTACACCCTGAAGTGCTTTTCCTAGGTTCCTCCAAGAAGGAGGCACTGCGAAAATTCCAACATTTTAAATGCACATCCTCTCTCATCCAGCAATTCTACTCCTGAAAAAACCACGGAAGGTCATGCAAGTATATATGGCTATCCACTGCAGCATTGCTTCTAATAGCAAAAAACCTGAATCAACCTAAATATCAATAGGGACTGGTTGAATAAATGATGGTAAATCCATGCAAGAGAACGCTAGAGAGCCCCCAAAAGCATAAGGTAAATCTAAGCACACTAAAAGGGAAATATGTCCAAAATATATTGTTAAGTGGGAAAAAACCAAAGTGCAGAACAGTACATAATGTATGATCCAACCCATGGGGAAAATGAATAGATATATTAATATATGCTTTTACATGCATTTCAATTTTTGGAAGAAAATATAAGAAACTTTTTTTAACCCCATATATATTACGTATGTATTATATATATTATATATGTACCTTAAAATATATTATATATATTTTATATTTACCGTGTGTGTGTGTGTGTATTTTTTTACACTTAAACAAAAAGGAAGCACCATGAACAGAGATATTTCAAATAATTTCATGTACAATTATCATCACCACATCTTCAGATTATTTATTTGATTGCCTGTCTTGGTTACAGAGTTCCTCTAGAGTTAAGCTTGGCTTCATTTCTTAGGCAGGGAGGAGAGAAGGCCTTCTGGACGGCCCTTCACACGGCTTCGTGAGCACACGGAAATGACACAACAGGGCACTCTGGAGCTGTGCTTATCCAGAGAGTTTTGCAGCTCATGTGGCCTCCTCTACTGTCTTCTCAAAAGTAAAGACAAACAGGGCAGAGAGGCCAAGCTCAGCCCAAACACCCCTTCACGTCCTTTCACATGCGGGGCGTATGCCATATATTACTTCCCTATTGCTGTTACAGCTTTGGGCAGAGTAAGGCAAGAAGAAGAATAAAGGAGATGAACTAGTTCCATTCTCACCAGCAGAAACCCTAACTGGTCAGCCCAACACAGCGGGGTAAAGATTGGCTCTTCCATTAAAGAGAAAGCAAGGTCACGCATTCCTATCCACGTGCTCAGGGAGGGCAGCCAGGACGGCTGTTCTTGGCTGGAGCAGGCTTTATGACACGCTCTAAGTGTTCCCAGTGGAGGAGGGGACGATGCTGGGGTCTCAGGAAGGCAGGATGGCATGGAGCATGGCCACTAGTGGGATGCTAGTGAGATGGGATGCCATCTCAAAGACGGCAGATACGCTGCTGTCTGATCAACAGGACAATTTAAGATGCCATAAACAGAAAAAATAAAAATAAAACTAATGCAGGCCCCACTAACTCAGAATTAGTGATAACGCACGGTACCCTTGAACCTTCAGTCTGAGTCTTCTGTGGCTTGCTAAACAACAGGAGAGATTAGAGATGAACTGGTTAAGCCATTTAAGTGGATAAACTATCTTGACGACCTTCAACAGCACTGCCTTGCTGTTTCTGTACTATTGTAATTTGTATGGTTAAGGTAATAATTAGAAATCAGTCTTATCTGTTTATCAAGCAGGTCTACTAGGATCAGCTATAATCAGCAGCTACATGCTGTTAAAATACCTGCTCATCATTTCAAACATCTCATCCTTCATTCTTTTCTCTGTTTCGAGCTGGTCTTCCCGGTCAATGCTATTTTCTACTGGACATTATCATCTACACACAGCGAGATCTCAAAAGGCGCTCACCTCTGAATCTTTGGCCTGCTGATTACGAACGACTATCAAATTGTACAGGACTCTGTCGTCGTCCGCCTCTGTGTGGGACACATCGTGAGGCATACTCCACAGATTCTTCTCATCATCCCTCGCCAAAGTCGCTCCAAATGAAGAATATGGACTGTTATCACTACGGTATAAAAAAAAAGAGGAATAAGGGTTTTTTAATATAGATATATTATATTATACTATATATATATCATATGTATGTAACATATAATATGAAATTTTTATATATCATATATTATGTAATATATAAAATATATATTTATAACAAAAAGGTCTGAATCGTCTTTAATAATTAAGCGTAACACAATAGAACAATAAAAAAATCACTTTAAAAACAGCAGAGAACAGATGTAACCAGACACCTGGGCAGAAGTAATTTTACTACGTTAAACATGAAATTCAGCACTGAGTACCCCAGCAACTAAAACAAAAAAAGGAAATCCAATGGGGAAGAGAATTCTCATGTGATTAAAAGAAGAAAACAAGTCATATGAAGAGATGAACTTTTACTGGCTCTGAATTCAAGGAAGCACAGTAAATTTAGACTACAATGATATGTAATATGTACCTAATTCCTTACAACAAGAAAATTCAGTACTAATACACATATTCAAATACTTTCAATGAACAATGTGGGATGTGAGTAAGAATCTCAGTAGCCCCATTTTGTACGTCTGTTTTATGATTTAGTCTTTATAAGGTGTTATCTGTGCTTGGGCTTCTGGAGGAGATGAGTGGCAGAGCGTCACACCTAGGACAGGCTCGTACACAGCCCCAGGTAACTTCTGCGGGACTGGACAGGCAGGGTCATGCCGGGGTTATTCCCTTCATCTAAAATACGTATGAAGCACTGACTCCACGTTAATCACGGGCCTCAATAAGACTGTGAGCAACACAGACATGGTTCCTGCCCTGACCTCACTAGAGTCTAGGGAAGGAAACACATTAATGAATGATCACGTGACTATATAATTAAAAACCATGACACGGGCTATAAAGGGGGGTTCAGGGAGCCGAGAGCTAACGGGGGTAGGCGTCAGGTAGGCCTTGTGAAGAAAGGATGTTTGAGCTTTAAGTTGAAAGACAAGAACAGACCTCCAGGCAAAGGAAACAACACATTCAAAGGTCCTGGGGTGGGAGGAAGAAGAGTGTATGCATTAGATATTTCCTGCGGAGGTAGCTGGGGCCAGATACACACGGCTTTGTAGGCTGTGTCTCCTAACATTCTTTAGAAATGTGGGCTTTGTTCCTAAGAGCCAGGTAAAATGTGGAAAGGTTTTAAGCAGGACTGTGATGAGACATGAACAGTCTCACATCTGTAAAGATCTCTCTGGCTACAGTGTGGAGAATGCTTTAAAGGAGTCAAGAGTGGATTTGGGAGATTCATTAAGATGCAATCGAGGTAACTCAGGTGAGACCTGAAGGTACCGGGATTAGAATGATGGTGTGCAGCTGAAGAAAAGAGCACTGTCCAGGAGTCTGTAGAAGGCAGACACTCTCTGGCATTTCACCTGGACGGTGCATGATGCAGTTCTCGGAGGCAGAGTTAGAATGCCCCATGGCCATGGGGTGGCAAACACCCCTGCAGGTGTGACATGAGGGAATGGCAAATGAGGAGAGGCAGAAGACGCTCAGATGCGCAGACGGCACCTGGGAAGGAGGGATGAGGGTAACTGACAGGCGAGCTGAAGGGAAATGTTAAGCTTTAAACAAACAACACGAGATACTCGGAGGTGGCCCTAACAAAATTGCAACAGGAAGCAAGTCCCAGTCACCAAACTGGGGTTCAGCAGCAGGAACCCTCGCAGCAAGGGAGGGGCTCTGGTGCTCGAGCGATGGGACACAGGTCGGGCTAGCAATCAGGGACTCAGACTTGGGAGAGCCAACACTTGTGACACTGGGCAAAGGGGGATGGGACCTGGAAGCAAGGCGGGCAGAGCAGAAGGCCAGCTACCTGACCCAGGCAGAGGGCTGAGCGACTGGATGCTGAACAGGGCTCCTCAAGTCCCTCGAGTAGAAGTGTCGGGTCGGGGACTGGACAGAGTGATCAGAGCTGTGGGGAAAGGAGCAACTACAGAACCAGAGGCAGCCCCGCGCTGTTCTCAGAACAGCCCCATTTCCACTTAGGCTGCCTGACACCACAGAGAGCCCGCGGTCTGGCTCTTCTTAAGAATGATGCGCCGATGAAAGGGGAGGCAAATGACGCCTCGGTGCCCTGCCCACACGGGCTTTAACCAGCATGTCAGATTCATTCATTCATTCATTCAGTTGTTTGTTTATTCAACAAACGTGGAAAGGATAACTGCTGTATACTGGCACTGGGCTGGGTGCGTTGGGGACTTGAAAATAAACAGGACATTGTCCCCGCCCTTAGCGTGACTATAGAGTAGTCCCCCTTATCCACGGTTTCAGTTACCCGAGGTCCAGAAGCAGATGATCCTGCTTCCGACCTACCGTCAGAAGGTCAACAGCCTAACGCCACGTCACAGCGCCTACATCATTCCCCTCACTCATCTCATCACAGGAGCACTGTATCATCTGACACCATCACAGGAAGAAGGGGGAGTACAGTACAACAAGATATTTTGAGAGAGAGCACATTCACATACCTTTTATTACAGTATATTGTTATAATTGTTCTATTTGATTATTAGTTATTTTCTTAATCTCTTACTGTGCCTAATTTACCAATTAAACTTCATCACAGGTACGTAGGTACAGGAAAAAACACAGTATATATAGGGATGGGCACTATCCGCGGTTTCGGGCATCCACTGGGGGTCTTGGAACAGATCCCCCACAGATAAGGGGGGACTACTGTAATGCAATGACATACGTGATTTTTTTTTTCAAAGTACAAACAGAATGCTATAGGAGCAGAGGAGTGACAAATTGTGTGTGATGAGAAGAAGTTCAAGAAAAGTTTCGTGGAGGCGACAATATCTAACCTAGACCTGAGGGACGTACAGCCTTCCACCAGGAAGAGAAGGCAGAGGAAAGCCCTTCCTGCCAGAGGGAACAGCAGGAGTGGGAGCTGCACATGGAGGTTTCAAGAGCCCGCAGGGTTGGGGAATTCCAGGTGTTCCTGCACGGCTACACCACCCGGTGCACAGAGGGAGGCAAGCGGAGGGACGTGAAGAAGGAAAAGTGATCTGGGGTCAGACTGAGGATAGTGCTGGAGTTCAGGCTTTATTCTGTGAATTGTGACAAGGCAGTCTGAGCCCTGCCAGTTTGGGTTTTAGAGAAATAACTCTGGATGAAGAAGGAACAAGGAGATGGCTTAGGGGGCTGTCACAAGATGGTGGGTATGGTTTTCCTGCCAAGCTCTTTGAAGTCCTAGTGTCAGGGGGCCTGGGGGCCACCCTGGGGGAGCAGTGGAGTAGGAGATGGGCAGGGCTGCCCTGGCAGAGACAGCAAGACGCCCACAAATTACCCACAACCAGAACAGCTGCCCCATTTATCTTATTTGTTAGAGTTACAAGGAAGACATCTTTGGGGCACAGGAAAGGGGGAGTTCCATTGCTAAATAAACACAAATTAATTCTAAACATTTTGAAATCCTGGTTGGGGTGAACGAGGGTGTGGGCTAGGAAAGCAGCAGTGGGCATGGAAGTGAGAGGACAGATTCCAGCAGCACCCCAGAGGGGACATGGTAGCCCTGGTGATGGGTGACAGGCAGCACAGAGGTGCGAGGAGCAGAGTCAAAGCTGACCGTGTGAGGGGACGCCTTGAACTGAGACAGCTTGGAGGAAGCCGAGGTTGACCTGCGAGCCTGCAGGACATGCAGAGAGAGGTCCGGACCTGGGCTTGGGAGCAAGGACAGGGCTGGAGGTCTAGACTTGGGAGAAACGCACATGCGTCTCCATCACCGTGGAAGCCGCGGGATCAGAGGAACGGTCTGGGAGCAGGGAGGGAGGGAAGACCTCAGGGAACAGCCAGACCCAAGGAGCAGGGGTGGACGGAGCCTGGAGAGAGCGGGTGAGAGCAAGGAAGAGAGGACGCGGGGCCGAAGAGGAATTCCAAAGAGCAGGCAGACTCAGGAGAGGTGTCCGTAACGGGAAGGGTATTGACACCAATTTCTTTTTGCCTAAATAGATTTTGCAGCCAAGGATAAACCACCACTGCGTGATACAGTGCTTGACCCAAGGGCTTCCACGGTCCATCCCTCCGGTTATGCAACCCCCTGAGGTTGGAAGGGTGGGTGACACTATCCCACTTTGCAGACAGGGAAGAGACGATGGGTTGCTTGACTTCTCCCAGGTCAGGCAGCATGAGGTCCTCTCAGTATGACATCCCCAGTGGGGCATCTCCAAGGAGCCACCTGTCGTAAGACTCGATATCCAAACGCTGGGACGGGGATGCACCCACAAATGGAGCAGCTCAGATGACACCACATGTGTGACATGTTCCCTGTACAAACTGGCAGATTCCCCCGGGGCTTCTCAAGGCATCCAGACCCAGAAGCACAGCTTTCCCCAGGAGCTGCGACCACGGCCACTGAAGCCACAGTACATGTACCTCCCAAGCAACGAAACCCTAGTACTTTCCTGCAACTGGTCCTTTACTTTCCCCCCAATTTGTTCCTTTTGTAAAAGTATTGTCTCTTCAACAAGTAGGTAAGTTCCTCCAGGGCAGGGATAGGGGCCAGGCTTTCTTTATATCCCACACGGCCCAGCAGGGTCGGGCACGGGGCAGTTGCTGCCAAAGTCCTTGCTGAATGGAGCAAGCTGAGCCGAGACCCCAGGCTGCTAAAGGAAGTCCCAGACATAACTCATTGTTAGTACTTTTTAAAACCTTCCCTAAAGCAGGAGGTTTAGAAATTAGCCCATATCTACCTGAATCACCAGTAATAACATTTGATATGAATAATCTAGCCACTTGGTGCTTAATAGCCCACAATTTCTTTGCATGTTTTGAGATGATAGTGATAGCTGCCTCCCTGGCCACCAGTCCCTCCTACCCTCTCACAACCTCTCTCTCTCTCCCTTGCCCTCTCTGTCTTCTCTCTGTCTCTCTCCTCTCTCCCTAACACACACACACACACACACACACACACACACACACACGAACATGCATGACTCCAGCCAATGTAAAACGCTAGCCACTCATCTTTCATCTACA